AATGGAATAGATTAGAAGACTCTGAGACCCTACAAACACACTCAGTCACTGTATCTTTGATAAAGTGGCCAAACATACTCACTGGAAAAAAGATAGCTTCTTTAACAAATGATACTGGAAAAACTGGCTCTCTACAGCTGAAAACTCAAACTTGACCCAGGTGTATCACCATGCACTAAACTAAAGTCAAAATGGATTATAGATCTAAACTTTAAAGCAGAGACACTGAATCTCCTGGAAAAGAAAGTAGGAAGAACTCCTGAAGACATAGGCAAAAGACTTTATGAACGGAAATCAAATCGCATGGGAAACAGTTGAAAGAATTAACAACTGGGACCTGCTCTTACTGAGAATATTTTTCATGTCAAATAAATTACAGAAAATCTTCTTAAATGTGCTTTTCAAGGTGAAATTGCTTACCTTTCCCCTTCTGATCCCAGCTTAGCTGTACAGATGCTGACTGCTTCTTGGAATAGCTGTCTACCACAGATAAACATTACTCAGTGCTCCTAGGTGTGTTCCGTGTGTAAATAGATTGTGGGAACACGGGAGGCTGGTTTTTCAAGTTCCTGCTCCTAGCAGTTTATGAGAGGCAAGTAGCCTAGAATTCTAACCTGTGTATCCGAAAGAAAAGGGAACCTACAAAACTGCCCTAACCTTCAGATTGAGGCAATCTTCAGGCAAAGGTAAGATTAATGTGTTTAAGGATTCTTCAGTGTGAAACTTACTTTCTTGTTAGCTTTATTTTGTGTGTTTGGGCATAAACATGTTGAGTAGTTTGCTGGTCAGCAAGGAAATGACTTCTTCCACCACTTGATAGTGGATTTTACAATAAAAGAAGAAAGACAGGCATATATGCAGAGTGGACATTTTGACCTTTAGGTTGCTATACATTTGGTGGATTGGGATGAGAAATATAGCTATTGTCTTGTTATTAGAACTAAATTTAATCTGAAGAGAGAAACATTGCAGTAAACCTCAGTGAAGAAATGAATATGTCTCAGTGAAAATATGTACAGTAGTAACAGAGAAGTCAAGTTCACAGCAACAGTACTGTCATTTTTCAAAAAATCTCTCTCAAATGTATGTATAAGGCAGTGCTCTTCCTTTCAGTTTCTTTCATTTATTAGAAATTTTAGACATTGTGTTTACCATTGTTGAATTCCTTTTTGTATTCTGTCCCATTCTTTTCTTTTCAGTCCCATTCTTGATGTGGACAAATATCAAATATGCACAGGTGTGCTTGTGTGTGAAATCTGAAAATCCTTGAATAAAATTGACACAAATTTGATATTTTTAATAGCATGAAAAATGAGATATTCATGGAAAATATCAACATGTACTGGAATTTTTTTTAAGATTTTACATTTTCTTTCAATATGATTTTTAAATCAGCAGTGCACTTTTCCTCATTCAAGTAAACATGTATTTTTGAAAAAAAATAAATATGTACATGAATAGGTAGTATAAAATAGCATTTATATGTAATAATACATTTAAAAATAGAATTTATATACTACCTTCCTTAAAAATGCTTAAACACATGTATTACATGTTTGGGTTGTTGTTTTATGATAAACAGTTTTGTGATGTTTTGACAACAGCTTATATGCGTGACATTACAATTCATAGTCTATATCTTAAGTGCATAAAGCCATTCTTTTGGCTGCTAGTGAAATCCTTAACTAGGGACTTACCACAAACCCACATATGCATATGTATTTGTATATGAACAACTAATATGAGGAAAACAGATAAGCAAAAAGGTGAGAATATATCTTATTGGTCTTTTGGTTGTTGAATTATTTTTTATATATTTAAAAGTTCCTAAAGTTCTCAGCCTAAATTTGGGAATTATCTGTGTTGTCTTTTAACTTATTCTAGTTTCATAAATTGCTTTAACAAACTCAATGAGTAAAATTTCTTGATGCCTACCACTTTGTATCTTGGAGCACACTTAGCATGTTTGTTCAAACCACCTTCTTATAATCACATAGTGTGTTAAGAGAAGAGGGAAATACAGCTTTAAAATAGGTCAAATGAGCAGTTTGTTTAACCTAAGCTTTGTTGTACAATGTCATATGTTATAGATGTTTTGCCAGCATATGTAAACACTTGGCTAATCATGTTTAATGCTTTCCAGTTAGGTTCACTTGTAATGACATTTTTGTGCATCCTCTATGTGACATGTATAGGCTCTCTAGTCTTCTTTCTCTATTGCCACCTGCCCCCCACATTTACACATTTTTGATGATTTCACAAAACTCTTTCATTTCTTTTCAGCAGGTTTAATTCCTAGTGATCTCTTTCCCTGAGTAATTTCATGATTTCCTATGACGTCTGTTCCTCTGCATCTTCTGATTACAATTTCTCCACAACCTCTGAAATCCTAGTCAATAGGCTTCTGATTCTTCTGAAAAGAACAACAGAAAATGGCTCCTCCACCAAGCACAGCAAACAATTAAACAGCCACATTATATGTTTACCCATGTCTATAGCAACAGAATTTGTCATAGCTAAATCTTGAAAACAACACAAATACCCACCAACTGAGGAATGGATAAAAATGATGTAGTATTTTTCTACAATGGAGTATTAATCACCTATATAAATGATAAATTCAAGTATTTTATAGGTAAATGGATGCATCCAGAGACCATATCATAAGTGAAATAAGTCAGACCCACATGTATAAACATCATATTGTCTCCCTAGTATAAGAACCTGAAAGAGTAAATAAAATTGGAAAGGTACAGCAGATACTGTGAAAGGAAAAAGTATTTGACAGGAAGAAACAACTGAGATGAGGGAAAATAGAAAAGAAAGAGGAAAAAATACATATGCATATACACAGGATGTCTTGGATAATTTTACTGCTGATTTCTACTGTTTTATTGAAAGGAATAGTTAATACTTAAATATATTTTTCTTTTCTTTTTCTACTGTTAAATGTTTCGACCAATTTTGTATGCTTATATCTGGTATTCGGAACAACTAATTTCTTCCTTAAAAATTGACTTTTGTGACTGAATAGAATGACACATGCCTGAAATCCCAGCCCTATGAGAACTGGACACAGGAGAATTGCAAGTTTTAGCATGGCCTGAATAATTTGGTGGCTTCCCAACACGCTGTCTCAAAATAAAAATAAAAAAAAAGTTACAATGAGTAGAATGTAGCTCTGTGTAAGCCCTGAGTTTAATCACCACTGCTGTGATAAAAAATCTTTAACAGTTACTCTATGACATAAAATATACCTTGATCACATTACTGACACTGCACCTCCAAGTCACCTGTACATAGTACTGTTAAGAAATCCACTGCATATTTGTGTAGTTATGCATTCATTTGATAAAATTTAGTGACAGGTATTGTTCAGACACTGCTAAGCACTGGAAGTTTTTTATCTGAATAATTTTCCTTTTATTTTTATTTTATTAAAACATTTGATAACAAAATAAGAGAATTAAAAATAGTTAATATACTATGTATTCAACTGGGGCTATAGCTCAGCGGCATAAGTGCCTGCCTGGCAAGCACAAGGTCCTGAGTTTGATTCCCCATATCCAAAACCTGAGGGCGGGGCTGGCACTGCATGTGTTGCCAGGATTGAACCACAGTCCCCTGCAGCTGCCTAAGCTTGCCTAAGCAGGTGTTTTAGACTGCTGAACTATCTCATAAGCCCACAAAATTTTCTTTTTAATAAAATATGATAAATTAGTAGTATAAATGAAACAAATTAGCATATATAAAATATTTTCAATGAATAAAATAGGTGAAGACTAACATTAAGAATATGTATAGAATAGAAAAATAATTAAAAAATTATTCAGATAAAAAACTTCCAGTGCTTAGCAGTGTCTGACCAATACCTGTGACTAAAGTTTTATCAAATGAATGAATGACTACACAAATATGCAGTGGATTTCTTAACAGCACTATGTACAGGTGACTTGGAAGTACAATGTTAGTAATGTTATCAAGATGCATTTTATGTCATAGAGTAATTGTTAAAGTAATTCCTCCAAAATAAACAACTCAAATTTTAAAAAAACCACTGAAATGAAGACACTTCTCAGATGAAATAGAAATGACCAATAAATACATGAAAAAAGATTCATCATCACTCTCTATCAGAGAAAGGCCTAAAACCCTGCAATGGAATATCATCTTACCCAAGAAAGAATGACTGTCATCAAAAAATCTAACAATAACAAATGCTTGAAGTATAAGGGGGGAAATAAACTACATTGTTAGTGGGAACGCAAACTAGTATAACCACTGTGGGAAATCAATATGGAGATTCCTCAAGAAAGTAAAAATAGGTAATCCATTTGACCCAGCTATCCACTATGTAGGTATATTCCCAAGAGATCATATTGCAGGAATATATGCATACTCACATTTATAATGGTATAATTTATAATAGCTAGATACTGGTAACAATGTTAACAGGGTGCACACCCAAAATAGATAGGAAAATGTGACATTTATACACATGGAGTACTATGCTGTCATAGAGAAAAAGTTGAGGCATTTCTTCAATGGATACAACTTAAGAACATAATATTATTAAGAATAATATTAAGAATTATATTATAAGAACATTATTATTATGTGAAACAAGTTAGATGCACAAGCTTAAATATAGCATGGTTTCATTTGTACAAAAAGCATGATAGACAGACAGACGGACAGATAGACAGACAGTCAGGTCCATTTGTTCCTTATACTAGGGAACAATTAGGTTTGTCTTATGTGCCTGTATTCTAATTTGGAAGGGCATAAATTTACCTCAATAATTGTTTAAGTTGTGATAATTATTCTGCTGTATATTTTCCAAACTTCATTACAGGTGTCTACTTCGCTTTATCTGACATATATTATCAATTTCTTTTTTTTTGAAATTTCCCCTCAATTCTTTCCTATTACTTTGTATTAGTTATTCATCTACTGTTTACTAATTTCCTTATCTCATTCTTCTCTTCTTTCTACATATTAGATTCTTCTATAGGCTTAGCATCTAGAACATAACCTGTTGCCTTTCCTAGCTACCTGTGGCTTTTGACTGTAGTTCTATGTATCATTGATAAATGGATGCCAATCTTCAGGTTTTAAGTTTTTCCACTTGTAAATCCAACTGTCACCTAATACCCATCACAGTTGTAACCAACTAGTCCATTTTCTGTCAAAATGCATGTTCTTTCAGTGTTTCTGCTAATGGTATTGATGATCATCTGGTTTCTCATATTTGAAATCTTAAGATTGATTTTGTTTCTAATTTTTCCTTTCATCTCAATACTTAAATCACTACAAAATCCCTTCATTTCTTGCACCACAATGTATTTAACAGTTATCCTTTTTCATCATTCTTTTCTCTACTTTCTCATCCTTTCCTCCCTCAGTCCAAAAACTACCTAGAATTCAAGAGCTTGATCAGGTCCAACTTCCATTAGAAAATTCACATCTTATGAATATCTTTTTGTAAGTCTCAGATGGAGAATCATGAGGCTAGTAGAAAGAGCACAGACAAAGACCTACGTTCAACTTCTAATTCTACCATTTATTTCTTCCTGTGTCCTTTGTTAGCATTAGTTTCCTCAGTCATCATGTCTCATTCATTGAACACAAGGAACAAATGAGATTATGCGGGTAATACCATTTTAAGCTATGAAGCTCTACATGA